TAGTATTGCGCCTAGACCATCTCGGCTGGCGTCCGTTTGTAATACAAAGCGGCGTGTAAAGTCGGGACATGCCAGTACTGGTGCTGTTGTTAAAGCCCCTTTCAACGTTTCGAAAGCTTGCTGCTCCTTGCCTCCCCATGACCACTTGGTCTTCTTTTTCGTTAAGTTTGTTAACGGTGCGGCTATTTCCGAAAATTTCTTGACAAATCTGCGATACCAGGACGCTATACCTAAGAATTGTCGTACTTGTTTTATTGTTGTCGGCGCTTGCCATTTTCTTATGGCTTCGATTTTTTCTGGATCCGTGCGAATGCCTTGCTCGTCGATTATGTGTCCTAGGTATTTTAGTTGGTTCACGCAGAATTTACATTTTTCTGTATTAATTCTCAATTGTGCTTGCCGCAATTTTTCAAATACCTCTGACAATCGGTTTATGTGTTCGTCCAGATCCTTACTGACTACTATAATGTCATCTAAGTATACAAACACAAACGGTTCTAGAGCTGGTCCCAAAACTGTGTCCATCAGTCGCTGGAATGTGGCGGGCGTGGAGTGTAGCCCGAATGGCATTACCCGAAATTGCATGAGCCCCCGTCCTGGTACCGTGAATGCAGTGAGCGGTTTACTTTCGTCGGTCAATGGTATTTGACAGTACCCACTCTTTAGATCTATCGTAGATAGATATCTGGCTCCTCGCAGCTTATCCAAAGTGGCCGTTATTTGCGGGAGCGGATATGCATCTTTCTGAGTAACGGCGTTTAAGCGACGGAAATCTATGCAAAATCGGTGTGTACCATCTTTTTTCCGAACCACCACTACTGGTGAACTCCAAGCACTATTGGATGGTTCAACAATTCCGGCTTCCTCCATTTTTTTTGACCTCCTCGTCAATTATTTTTTGCATAGCTGGATTCCGTGGTCGGTATTTTTGCTTAATAGGTCTTCCTTCTATTACCTTAATGTGGTGATAGGTTTTCGTTGTAGGCCCTCTTATTTGTTCGAATTTTTCCATTTCCTTCGCCAGGAAGTTGGTCATCCGTTCCTCTTCATTGTTTGACCGCGTTTTTAAGCCTGTGACTCTTCTCCCGCTTTCCTTCCTTCTATCTGGTGGTGGTGGTATATTGATTTTTGTCTGTGCCCACAAGTTGGTCCCAATGATCATTTCTGATTCTAGTTTTGGCATGATTACTATTTCTTGTCTGAACCTACGTCCTCCGATCTCTATTTATAGGTCTGTCTCTCCCTCTGTTTGTGCTATTTCACCGTTCGCGAGGTGTACTTCGCCGGAACTTACGGTATCGAACTCTGGTCGTATTCTCTTTATGATGTCTGTTCGGATGCATGATACCTCAGACCCTGAGTCTAGGAGTGCGTATATTTTGTATCCGTTTATTTTCACGGCTATATGTGGCCGGGGCGTGTATCTAATTTTTACGCCTAGGGTCGAGGGTTGGCCTAGGTGTCCTCGCCCATTTTTCTGTTTCCCGAAGGATGGCAGTTTCGTGTGAGGACGCCATCTTTACCACAGTGCGAGCAGAATTTTTGTGGTGGTCGTCTACAGTATTTCCGGATATGTCCGCGCTGCTTACAATTCCAGCAACATTCTGTTCGATTATATGTTTCTTTTGCTACCGCGGCTGTTATTCTGTTGACGTATTCCTTACTCTCCTTACGCTGGACTTCAATCGTTTCATAATCCTGTGCTAACTCCCGCAATTGATCTATTGATTTTAGTTCGTGCTTTCTAATATATATTTTATATTCCGGATTCAGGTTTCGGTATAAGCGCCTGAGTTGTTCCTCTTCTGTATCAATTTCGGCTCGGCGCATTAGTGTTTGTAGAGCTGTCTCATATGTTACATATGGCTCATTACTTTTTTGTGTGCGATGCTCAATTTCTTCTTTTAATTTCTCAGCGTAGTCCCGAGCTAAGAATCGCGCACGAAATCCTTGTTGGAAGTCAGACCAAGTTCGCCATTTTCTTCTGTTGTTTCTGTACCATAGTAAACTTTCTCCTTTTAATATCTCTGTTAAACCTCGTATCAAATATTTCTCTGGGAACTCGTACCCTTCCCGTAGTTCCTCTATTCGTTCCAAGAAGGATACTGGATCTCGTCCATCAAATACACATCCCCATTTTCTCATTTGTGTGAGAATTGTAGCTGAGTCCGAATTTACCCTATCGTTCGTGTTTATGGTGACGCGGCTCGCGGGGCTGGCTGTTCTGGCTGTGTTCTGCATTTTCGCGAATATGAAATTCGGGTTTTCTGTTACAAATTTTCG